ATATATATATATATATATATATATATATATACTAAGTTAATAAGAGAGTATCTATAAAATTAAATATTTGGATTAATATTACAGGGTTCTTTATTCATGTATTGTTCCCAAAAATCATTAATAAAATAATTTGAATGTTGTGATGTTCACACATCAGATGATGATACAAGTATGTAAACATAGTGTAAGATTAACAAAGCTACAAAACTGTAGGTCTGCATCACATTTTAGCAGGAGATAGAGATTACATGACTATGAAATGAAATGGCAACTTCAACAGCTGGAATGAGGAAGCATGAGATGGAATGCTGACTTATGACATGGAATAGGAAACCATCTGAATATGATATGAAGAGGTTCTTGTCAAACAACTGCTGCATAATGTAGCAACAAGCGAGTATTGCGCATACAGTTATCAGTAATGGAAAGGCCAGTAAAACTAGGACAGTGAGGCAACGAGTCTCCACCAGGCTCCACAATACTGTATGCAATTAAGATGCTTTTCACTCACATCTCTATAGATTGAAGCATATAGTGGGGAATTTAAAATATTAATATTATCATTGTCATTATCGAAGTACAGTACTATATTACTGTATTTATTATTTATATAATTTCAGAATATGTTTTTCGGCAAACGCTACACTTGCTTCCGGCAGATACTACTGTACTTATACAGTACAAATACCAAGTAAATATGAAATTTTTTTAAATGTTGGTTATTATTATTATTATTATTATTATTATTATTATTATTATTATACAATATTATTAACATTATTACCATTATTATGTAAACTAATGCAATGTTTTATGAGTATTCTTAAGTTCCTAGAAATTTATCTATTAAGTCTATTAAAATGATGTCTGGATAAGATGTACTGGATGAAGGAAGATGGTGGAAATGGCATAATATACTGTAATTTATTTATAATTAGTCAAACATGCAATTCACACAAACACTGAAAATGAAATAAAAAACAATGGACCTGATGGCACTTCAATATATAACTTATATGACAAAATTTAGAAGAAAAACTAAAAAACAGCAAACAAATGTATTACTGTAGACACTGTATTATGTATAAACTGTATAGACGAATTTTAAAAGTACCACTTTCCAGATAAATGAAACTTATTGTTAAAACTATTATACACAGTTTATCAACTTTCTTATAATACATTGTCTTAAACTTAAAGCAAATTAATTTAAATGTAATGCCATTAGGTAAAATCAATTGTTACTATGTAACACTAGCAAAACAACATCCACGTAATATTCTGTGATAGGGCACGTGCAGTTTCCACATATCACACACACACAGTTGTTACAATGTATGTGTGGTGCGTACCTGGCCCTCCTGGCCTAGATCTACTAAGCTGCTCGTGACGGTGTGATGTTTTAGCGGGCGGAGGAGGAGGAAGAGGTCCTAAAATGAAGATAATCCAACAAGGACAAGCATAAGCAAAATAGAAAAACATGGAAACTAGATAATAAATAAAAAATGAAATTAATAGAATGGATGATACTAATATGCAATCAGGGGCGGATCCAACATTTCAAAAACAATGGGGAATACCAAAGATTATAAAACTTCAAGGTATGCAGACATTGGAAGCTAAAAATACTGCCACAAAATAGGGGTGCCCTAGTACAGTAGTACACATAATTTAGAAAATCGTAGGCGTTGCTCGAATCTTTTGAAGACCACTCCCTTCGTGGAAGTACTTTTTGCATTGAATCCCAGGCAGCCGGACCTCTTGCAGTTTTATAATATTTGGGAATACTAAAAGGGGCCGCAGTAATGCAATCTATCTTCAGTAATTAAATATGTACACAATTTACAACAAAAAGGGGAGAAGACATGTCCCTCTCAGGATCCGCCACTGGTAATGATGTAATAAATGAATTTCTGAAATAAAATCAAATGATTAATAAAGAATTACTTAAAATTAGTTAAATATTTTAATTATTAGTACTGTAAAATGACAGTGATGTGAAATATGATACAAGATAAATATTTTTGATTTAATATTTTAATACATTATTTTTCTGGTATTTCCACCATTAGTACAGTACCAACACCATTATGGTAGCATGGACATACTGTACTTTATTGTACCATAACTAGTCGGTACCTTCAGCAAGAAACCTTTAATTACCTGTACTGTAAGTGCATGTTTACCATAAACACCATCACAGATTTTTTTCCTTTAGGTGTACCACCACCATCACAATAATGTGCAACCTTCACCATGAGAATATTTATGGTGGTAACAATAACAGTAGGACATCATAAACATGAATATCATCATGTTATATTGCATTAACAGCTTCATCATCTTGGTTTTAACATGAGCAAAATTACCATTGAAAACCATCACCACAAGCACCATCACCTTGGTTATTCACTATTACCTGTAGCATTATCACCTTGGTTACAACATGGAGGAAATAAATATAATATCTTATTTATTTCCTCCATGGTTACAATAAATATTATCACTACCAAAGGCACCATACATGGAATCTGTCAACTGCTATTTTTTCATTTAGAATTTTTTTTTTTTAAATCAAATATCAAAGTAATTCTCTAAATTTCATACTTTGATAATTTTTAAATCTCAAATCACCATTTCCAGCCAGCAACAAGCATTTTCACTACAATTCATCATATTTTTTCAGTTTTTTCAAATGAAGCTTCATGCGTGTTGGTGATTCTGTGCAGTATAAATATCATTTATAGTATTATGATCCAAAACATGTTTTTACTGTACCTGAAACTTTTTACTATCAACAGAATTACACTCTTATTTTGTGGCAGTATTTTTAGCTTCCAATGTCTGCATACCTCTTTAAGTTTTATAATCTTTGGTATTCCCCATTGTCAACAGAATTAATTTTGTTAAAATGACCAAATGATCAAACCATATGTCTGTTAGCTCACCCATTCTCATACCCACCAAGTCTCACGCAATCGGCGTGAGCCTCATGCTTTTCGACCAAACCTCAGCTCTCAAGCCACTCACCTAAAATCTCACGCTTTTCCACTAATCTCAAGCTTTAATCATGGAAAATTCAATCGTTCCTATTCTAGCTACAATTGCTTCATGAAATGGATCGATTAGAGACGTAAACAATAGAGTTACACGTGTGTTATCCAAGTAGGAAACACTGATGGCACTATACATTACGTCATTTCTATTTGAGCATTAGAGATCTATTTTAGAGTGTACCAGAGAACATCTAACCCCAATATTTTTTTCAGGGCCCTAGGCAGGCCATCGACCAATGCAAATTGGGTTTATTTCGTGTTAAATCTCAAGCCACTATTTACCTCCAACTTGGCATGTATGCATTCTTAATAGATCATTCTGTTGTTGCAGTGAAAAGTTGAAAATTTCAGTTCAAACATTTTTCTTAACTGTATACTCTATCTGTTTTGATCAAGTTTAAAGCAATATTTACATTCAAATTTAATTTATATCATATTTTACATTACAAAACACTAACAAACTACCATTATCATCATCAATTTAATGAAAACTAACATTACAGTATTAACAGATGAAAACTAAACTTTGAGTTTAAGACCTTAATATCTCCAATTGCTTATCTACAGTATTGTCAACATCTTTCAACTTTCTACATAACTTCAATACTTTACCATCTGCCCACAACCATTCCTAACACATCTTTCATTTCCAACTATCACATCAAATAAATTACTTCTCAGACTGCTGTACAAAATGTCAAAGGTTAGAGTTTTTTTTTTACTATATGAAAAAAAGTTAGTAAAGGCAGGTGCAAATCAGTTGGCAGGTTAGCCTTTCACCTCTTACCTTTGTATGGCTTTGGCAATGTAGGGGGCAGCATCCCTGCAAGAAAACGCATTTCAATTTCGACTCATGCACTACAGTAGTATCTAATGATGTTAGCTGAACTACGGAACAGCACACTTTGAAAAACTACAGTAGACCTTTAATAGCATTTCCTACACTTACTTTATAACATTGTTTATTCAGGCAAAAATAGGCAAATGGTAATAAAAAAAACATCAACTAAAGACCACAGCAACTTAATGGAGTGTAAAGTTAGGCACTCACCGAGTCGGTGGGAATATGAAAGGGTAGACCTACCAAGTCTCACGCCTACGACGTGAGACTCGCGCCTCAGCGCCTCTTCTCATGCTCAACCGCCCGACAATAATTTTCTTACGCCGGCAAAAAAAAACAAAAACACAACAATACTACACTGTGCGGGGAGGTAGAGTATCTCGTTAGAAAATCGATGAAATATTGATTTAAAACAATGTCGTGTATTTTATTTCTTGGAGTTTATATTACTCATATATTATATGTATTATATGCATGCATGTATATCTGTCTCTTATACACATCTAGATGATATATATATATATATGTATATATATATATATGTATATATGTATATGTATATATGTATGTATACTGTATGTATTATGTATATACATGTCTGACATTTTGCTACCTTCCACACCCCCACCCCCGCTTCGCTTCCTCGATTGTTTAAACTTTCTCACTCCCGGCTAATTTACAAACTTGGCATATCTGAGAGGGTCATCATTTAAAACAATCCGTTGCGGGTCGGCCAACAGCCATCGAGGGGCAGCGAGTGCCTGACTTTAGGCAGGAGACTACAGCATGTGGGGACCATGCATACTCTACTCTAAAAGTTGTATTCACTATATTAGGCAGATGCTTATGAATATTCATTCATATAAGTATTTATCTATATTAATTCTATAACAACACTAAATATAATTTTAAGCAATTTTTTTCTAGTTTTTGTCTTTATGAATTGCAAACACACCATATTCCATAGCTCATAGGAATTCATCATAATGCAAATTATAATTTAACAAACTAACTTACCACGAGAGCCAGACGGTGGAAGAGTGCCATCTTCATTACGCCGTGGTTTAGGTGCGGTCACTGGTGCATATTTTTTGGGTTGCGTATTGTAGATGCTTGAAGACGACACTGTGTTAGATGTGTAACTCTGTTGCGGTGGTCCTCGGATGTCTCCCAAACGGTCTTTCTCCACTGCAAGCTTCTCCAGCTCCTGTTCCAGTCGTGTCATAGTCGTCATTTTGATGGTAGTTTATGATTCTCTAGAAAAGAAAAAAACAATCATCATTAAATACAGTGGCCAATTATTTATAGAAAATTAAAAATTAAAAAGGCAGGAGACTACAGCATGTGGGGACCATGCATACTCTACTCTAAAAGTTGAATTCACTATATTAGGCAGATGCTTATGAATATTCATTTATATAAGTATTTATCTATATTAATTCTATAACAACACTAAATATAATTTTAAGCAATTTTTTTCTAGTTTTTGTCTTTATGAATTGCAAACACACCATATTCCATAGCTCATAGGAATTCATCATAATGCAAATTATAATTTAACAAACTAACTTACCACGAGAACCAGACGGTGGAAGAGTGCCATCTTCATTACGCCGTGGTTTAGGTGCGGTCACTGGTGCATATTTTTTGGGTTGCGTATTGTAGATGCTTGAAGACGACACTGTGCTAGATGTGTAACTCTGTTGCGGTGGTCCTCGGATGTCTCCCAAACGGTCTTTCTCCACTGCAAGCTTCTCCAGCTCCTGTTCCAGTCTTGTCATAGTCGTCATTTTGATGGTAGTTTATGATTCTCTAGAAAAGAAAAAAGTAATCATCATTAAATACAGTGGCCAATTATTTATAGAAAATTAAAAATTAAAAAGTACACAACTCAACATCATTATTAAATTTGTTTGTACTCAGCCCATGAAATTTGGAAAAAATTAGTGTCGGCAAAAATTTGCCGACCTTAAATTCTCCAATTTTTACTACCTAGGCCTATATAGTATAAACTACGATTTTTTCCAAACGCTCGACCTTACATCGTCAATATATTGCTGGTGAAAGAATGGTCGTACTTGTATTAATTTAATAGTGTAGTATAATACATATGTTTTACATAAGAAAATCGCCGAATAAATTTCGTTTTAGCGTTCGTTTTATCATTACCTTTGGCATGGGAAATCTCACTTTCGTAAAACCTATGATCGTAGGTAAAATCTGCCCATGCATGTCCATGCGCATGCCCAGAATGATCTATCAGGGATTTTCCACACATGTACAGTACTTGTCAGTAGTGAAGTCACGATGCGATCATGATTAGGCCTACAATATGTTGAATTTTGTTGTTTTTAGATAATAAACAACATTTTAAAAATGATAATAGTACTGTAAAATGAAGACAAATAATAGATTTGTATTACGATCTACGCGGCCCACATGGTTTCAATTGGGCGATGTTGTAGGCCTTGGCTGGCTGGCTACCGTCATTCCTACCCAGGCCTAGCCTACGAAATGACTAGGCGAAGACAAGACGATTGTAGACAAATCGTACGTACTGCATGCCTATTAGAAATCGTTATTGTACCAACAAATCTGTTTTATGAAAAATCTATTTCCTTGGTTTGACGACGTACATGAAGTTTAGTGTCTGCTATAGCCTGTTTCAGTCAAAGTTTTTGACTTTCCATGCAGTTTTTGAAGCAAAGAAATCTAGGCCTAGGTCGGCAAAAAATTGCCGTCCTGTAGCAATTCTGGCTCGGCAATATGGTTGGCAATTGCCAATGTGAAATTCGTGGGCTGTGTACTGTATGCTGACATGGCCCATTTCACAAAATTTTCCACCAAGAGCGGTCACTGGAACAAATACTGAACAGACCCAATTAAAGTGTGTTCTGAATAATTTCTTTGCTGATTTTGAAAAATCTAGCAGAAATGGAAACATTTATCTATAGTACTACTGTATAACCAATCATCAGGAGGTAAATCCAGAATTATTGAAACAAGGAGGCACCAGTTTCATATAGGCCAAGATGTACCGTAATAATATAATTATATAAATATTGCATACATTAATGGTATGATTAGCAATTATTTAACATTAGGATTTGTATGCCATTTTGTAGTTTTTTTGCTGCATGACAATCAATTCATAACTGTAAAATGAAATTTACGTGGGTGTATTGAGTGTTACTGAGTATCAGGTATATTAAATATTATGCTCCAGCCAAAGCTTCAACAAAAACACCATGAATATTTAATAAATGCAATGCACAAAATTTATTGTCTTCATTATTGTCGCCATCTATGCTCCCAAAGGCAACTTACCATATTGTATTACAATACAGTACTGTAACCTTTAAAATGTAGTCATATTGCTCCAAGAGATATTGTTCTTGATCTACCAACTCACCAGTCAGAACAAAGGCATTTATTATTCATGATTTATCATAATTACTGTAGTATGTACTCTGCTTTGCAGTTCAAGATAGGAAAGTGTGTGTCTCTTTGCTACTGTAATATGAGAAAAAACATAATGCAAGGATCTTCTTAATACAGTGAGTCAATCTGTCAATCAATCAATCAATCATTTCAGTAATTCATTCAATAGTCACAGTAGCCTTTCAATGATTTCTATTCGTTCTTGATTTGTCTCAATTATATATTTTTAATGCCTGGATTTTTATTGACAATTTAAATGGATTTTTATGCTTTTAATTGATGATGAATAAAATGTAACAGTCGATACACACCGTGATCTCAAAATATGAAAAACATTCAAAATGAGAACTAAGTTTTTGCTGATTAACTTCAGTTTACTAGCCAATGCTAAGAATGGAAACAGATATGTGTCAGCTCAGTCTGTTTAAACCTGGGTTCTCAGTGCGGTCGATAAATCGGAATGGATCGTTTTTATCGACGACAAGACATACTGAAAACAATCAACAGATGCATCACTTTGAAAGCGTTCATAGGGAGTGGAGTTGTAAGAAGCAGTTAATTAATGCCTGGCTTACAGTAATAAGCGGTGGATTTATACTAGTATAACTCGCATTGTCATGAGCACTTTACTATACGCTAATCAACCTACAGTACGCGGTATCAACTTCACTGCTTTACACTTTTAATATTATTTTCTTGCAAATGCCAATTGAAAACTAACATTCAGTTAACTTCAAATATTATTTTTATTTATAAATTAAAAAGAAAAAACGCATACTGTAGGAAAAAATATCCAGGTAAAAATATCAAGGAAAAAAGCCTTGAAGGACAATTAACCTACAGTACACATCAGCACATGTTTGCAAAGATGCTACAAAATGACATCTCTTCTCTGAGCACAAGAAACAGATTTTCCAGACAATGGTGAAAGCAAATGGCTCTATCACTGTGGTATTAAATGTGTAATGACTTGAAAACAAATCCTTACAAAAACAAGGTCCAACGTTTAAATAACTGTACAGAATTGCCAACAATTATAATCAACCATGTAGAATAAAATATTTTGGGTGTCCATTCAGAAGACAATGAGGACAAGTATGTACTGTACAATGTATTGCTACACTTGATTTCATATACTGTACTGTAGCAAGCAATTATGATATGCCGACTATGTCGGTCATAACCAACATTTTTTAAGTGTCTGGTCATCTGTTACCATAAAGTATCTAATCTGCACACAATAGCATTAGCAGGGTCAGATTCAAGGGGGAGGGGATAGCCAGTCTGGCCCTCCTACTGTCAATTTTTCAAAGGCCATGAAGGAACACTCTCTGTTTAATACTGGGGGATGTTAAAGACTATTATCATTTCTAAGCACTTGAGTACAGTATACTGTATGGATGCTGTTATTGCCTTCATTTTGTGTTATTATAATTATCATCTTTCCTTCTAAAAACCATGCCATAACCCAGAGGAGCACTGTGTGCTACTATTATACATTGCTACAATTTGCGTAGCTCTACAATACAGTATTCTATTTCATGAAAATTACAGGGTACAACACTACTGTATCAACTTTAGTAATGAAATACTGTAATTCCTAAGACAAAGTAAGACAACACTGAAGTTAAAAAATTCAAATCGAAAATGGCTGCTTGTTTATAACGTCGCAAAGTGGGCAGGCGGCGAATATAGTAAAGTATGCATAAATCGGGAGTATTTTGCAGGGGACCTGTGAAATCGGATGTAAATTACATTCGATAAGGCAAACTGGAGATTATCTGATTAGACCGACAACTGTATAGAACCTACATGTAAGTTCTCTAACTGTACATAATTATCAGATCTATAGTACAGGCAATCTACACTGTATATAAATCTTGAAACAATAAAATGAAAAAAAAACAAAAAACAAACAACTATTATGACATTATAATAAGACTGGAGAATGTTTACCTTAAGTTACTAGAATGCTTGGAACATCCAAGGAGGTATTGTGTCAGTGGTGAGACTGGGTGCAAGTCAAATGATTTGATGAAGGTTCCTAAACTACTAACTAGAGTCTGGCAATCCTCAGTTGAATACACATCATGGAATACCATTCTTGTGACTCACACTTCCTGTACTTTCTTATTAATGGTGTTTTGCAAAGTGTATTAAAGTTAAATTACTAGTTTAATGAGGATTGGATCCTAATGATTGGTATTGGCCAGGAAATCTACAGTCTTTTGGACGGTCAATGGTGATTTACAATGGCCACTTAAAATGGCTTGAGCAGAATGTAAACAAGTAGAGATTACATACAGGGCCAAAACCACCAAAATGAAGCCATGATACTGTGGACTTCTCACGTTCGTAAAATGCATTTCCGTATTAACTACTTATACTACTTATTAACTTCAGATATTTTCTTAGTTTTCACAATAATTCATCAATAATCCGACAATTATGGGGGGTGCACTCCCCCCAAAAAAGACTACTGAAACTACAATGGAAAGTTTGCAAGGCAGCAAGTAGAACTTGATTAGGCCAACAAAAGTACACATATACAGTCAACCTACTATATGATACGCCTAGTCGTAAAACAAAATAAAAAATCATTTTTTATAAATGTGAATAAACACTACAGTAATTCAGAATAATTACAGTGTATTCTTTTCCTTCCTTATTGTTTACGTGCCCTAGTACGGCCGTCGTTTCTATCCACTAGGGCAACAGTAGGCGAATACAGTACGCCATCATGCGATTTTGTTTTTCATTACATGTGCAGGCAGTTCAATAATTCACTAGGAAGTTCTTTACTGCGCATGCTTATAAGCAACAATTTGTGATTCGCACTATTGGGAGGACTGCATAAAACTGTTTGCGCCAGCTGTGAATTGCGAAATTTAAATTGACTCTGGTATCCGGAGAACCAGAGCCTTGCAGGCGCCAACGTTCTTATGCATGATATATGATTTAACCAACCATATTTTCTGATTTAGTCATCATAAATGACATAATCAGAAAATAAGGTTGGGTCAAATTTGTGTGGTGGTTGAAAAATTCAGGAAGAGTCTTTATGGCCCAAAATAGTGATTTTAGATCACATTGGTATGTCATTTGATAGCCAAATTACAGTAATATTTTTAGCAAATTTCTTTGAACAAATTTTGTAGACCTAGACCTAGTAAACAGTATTTTCATTTTACAGTAGTTTGAAACGATATCGGGAGTGGGGGAGCTGGCAGTGGTCTACTGAACTACAATTTATTTGAAAATAGCTTGGGCCTGATCGTCCACACCAGTTGGGCCCAATCGTCTGTCACCCGAAGTTTTCATCATGGTGATCAAGAACGTACACGATCTCGCCCTAGGCTAGGCCCATGCCT